AGGGCACCCAGTCCACACTCAGGAGCACAAACCAGGGAAGAGCCCCCACTCCCACTGGACTCAGAAAGTGGGCCCCAGGCCATTTAAGCAGGGAATTGTAGGGTCCCAGGTACCCAAACCATGGTCTGGAATGATGGAGCTCCGATCATGGGTGGGCAGAGCTCTTTAGCCGTGCAGATGTCTTGTCCTGGGGCAAGTAGTGCAGAAGGAGGCAGGCCAGAGCGGGGTCCTCTGACGTGCAGGCCCCAGGGTGGGTCCTTCTTGCCCAGGTCTGAGGATGGTATGAAATCCAGTCTCACTCCACTTAACCAGGCTGTCTGCCCAGTCCTGCAGCGGGAAGGACCCAAGAGGCTGGAGCAAACCATTAGGGAGAGCGAGACTCACAGATCCAATGCCAAGGCCATGGACCAAGGTCCAGAGACAGGACCATATTTAGGGCCTGGAGCCCCAAGGAACAGGTTGAACAAATCATCTTTGTTTCCCCTGACTTGCCTAGAATGCCCTCCGTCCTTGACACTTTAAGACAGTTGGTCACCGCTAAGGACAGAGTTGGCCAGAAAGGGGTTTGAGCTCAAGCAGATGGGAATTAGGGGAGGAGCGTTCAGAACTGAAGCCTCCATCAACCTCCCACCTGTACAGGTAAAAGGGTTCAGATAAACGCATCTACCTGACTACCTTGCAGGGCCAAGGCAGGGCTGACAGGCCCCACCAGATCCATACCACTTCCTTGAGTTTCCCAGCTTGAAACAGAAGCTTGAACATCAGTTAGGAGCAGGTACTTGCAGACAGAGCCATAATTCATTTACAGCAAAACAATTCAACCCGCCCTGTCAGGACCCCATGCTTTATACGCTCACACTCATTCTGCAAATAAATACATTTGAAAGAGCCGTATCTTCTCAGGAGTTCATGACTTTTCTGGATTCATCTCCCTTAATGGATCTTCCACAAGAATGAACAAGAGGTATTCTCATTTAAAAGAAAAGAAAAGAGGAAAAGGTTATCAGCTAGTAGAGAGGAAATTCTGATTTTAACATAATGTGGCTTAGAAGGAGGTGCTACATTTCGCCAAATAGCTGGCGATGAGCTTTGTATCACTATTTGTTCATAAAGGCAGAAGGAAAGAATGCTGAACACGGGTGTCCATCATTAACCAGGCGGAGGAGCATAACGCTTTAGTGAGATTCTCAAGAAATGGGAGTTTTATGAGCACAGAGAATTCATTTCTGAAGGCTGAGTTCAGGCCAGACCTGCCCTATCAAAGCTGGACAGACAGACAAGAGATGGCAGGTGGCAGGAGAGGGACAGCCCCAGACCTCATGTGGGATTCTGGAAGAGACACCGGAGCTAATGGTAGTTATGGGACTAACAGCCCTCCTGTGGGTCCAGAGCTTCCCCATCTAAAAGGCCCCTGCAGAGCCCCATCTCGGAGTGATGCCCACTGCCTCTGATCCCAGTGTGTCTCCTGTGCCAGGCCCTGTGCCAGACCTTTTATGAGGATTATTTCACTGTGTCCTCATCTTGACTTGGAGGGAGGGGCTGTTATCTCCATCTTGCAGATGAGAAAACTGAGGCTCAGGGAAGGGGAGGGGCTGGCCCAGGGACACACTGCCAGAAGGCAGTGGGGCCAGACACAGGTCCCTGAGGCATGACT